GGTAGTTGCCAGCTATATTAGGGAGTCAGCTTTTGTGCTTGGTTTACGCTTTCTAGTATGCCGAGTGCTATTACTTTCCCCGGAGGAAAAGGAAAGCTGTCCACATACGATACCAAATCAGGATTAAAGCATTATTCTGGTGGAAAAAACTTATTAATGATGTTACAGATTTTATCAAGCAATGTGATACCTGTGCACGTTGTAAATATGAAGCTATTGCATCACCGGGGTTGTTACAACCTCTTCCAATACCTAGAAGAATTTGGGAAAATATTACTATGGATTTTATTGAAGGACTTCCTAAATCCAATGGTAAGGACACAATTTGGATATTGATAGATAGAATGAGTAAGTATGCACATTTTATTCCCCTAACACATCCTTATTCAGCATCTTCTTTAGCCCAAATTTTCATGGATTGTGTTTATACATTACATGATGCCCTTACTGAAATTATATCTGATAGTGATCTAATTTTTGTAAGCGGTTTTTGGAAGGAATTTTTGAAAATTTTAGGTATGCAACAGTATCTTTCTACAGCCTATCATCCTTAAGGTGCATGTGTTGGGAGCCAACTCAAGGAATGGAGTAAATGGTTATCACAGGCTGAATGGTGGTACAACACTACTTTTCGTACAGCAACTAAGGCTACTCCTTTTGAACTTCTATATGGTCAGACTCCTCCTCTCCATTGTCCTTGTTTACTTCACAATTCTATTCTAGATGTGTTAGACAGGTCCTTCATAGATGGGAAAGAGATGATAAAGATTCTAAAGCATCATTTGCATCAAGCTGCTGCAATGATGAAGCAAAAGGCTGATGCTCACAAATCTGACCAAGAGTTTGTGGTGGGACAATGGGTTTGTCTCAAACTACCTTATAGACAGTTATTGATTTACCACCTGACTCTAAAGTACATCCTACCTTCCATGTGTCTTTATTGAAGTTGTACCCTGATTCCAAGGTGAAGCAAAGACACCCACCACTTGATTGGCCATAATTTCCAACGACAATAGAATCTGAATTAATTTTGCAGAAAAGAGTGGGCTGCAAGAAAGGTCGAATCATCACTGAAATTTTAGTTAAATGGAAGCAACTGCCAGATGAGGAAGCATGTTGGACGCCTTTGTACCAATTTCAGCAAAAGTTTCCTCATTTTCTTGTGTAACTAATCCTTGAGGTCAAGGATCTCTTTACCTTGGGGGGGGGTATTGTTATATTTTTATAATATTGATGTCAATTAGTTATATAGCTGTTGGGGATCCGTATTGCTATAAATACCTTTAGACTTTTGTATTCATTATGTTTTATGAGAAAAGGCCAAGCACTATTCAGTTTATCCCTACAGTCTCTAAATTCCCTCAATTCTTCTCTACCTCCTCTATTCTTCTCTCTCCCCTCTCAATTCTCCCTAAACCTCTCAGTCAGAATTATTCTACCACAACAGAAAAGGTACGGGAAGGCCATCTCTTCATGTCTATAGTGTCAGATAAATCAGTAGATAAAGCTTCCAGGTTGCTGGATAGCAGTTGCACAAATCATATGACATCAAATCCAAGGCATTTCTGCAAGCTAGACTCAACCGTGAAGACTACTATCGGGCTTGGCAATGGTGAGATTATTGAATCTATTGGAAAAGGTACCATTCCTGTCCAACCCTTAAAAGGAACTAAATTTATACATGATGTGCTGTTGGTTCCTAAATTAGATGGACATCTAGTGAGTGTTCGGCAAATGTTGAGAAAATGATACTCTTTGATCTTCAAAAACAAAACTTGTGCCATATATGTTTCATTTGGAGTTGAAATTTCTGTTGTTCCAACAGTAGATAGAAGATTTCCTATCAACTCTCAAAGCCTTCTCTTGCTTATAGGAGTGTTGTTGATGATTCATGGTTGTGGCACAATAGATATGGCCATGCTAACTTCAAATCTTTGAAGTTTATGCAAGATAAAGGTCTTGTAAGGGATATGTCCAAAGTTTGTGTGAATGATGATGTGTGTGAAAGTTGGCAAATGAGAAAAATCCATAGACTCCCATTTCCTTCTTAATCAAAATGGAGAGCAGTTGAAAAACTTGAAATGGTTCATTCAAACATATCTGGTCCTATGCAAACTCCCAGAGTCAAAATAAATATTTTATTCTGTCTATTGATGATTTATCCGGAATGACTTGGATTTACTTCTTAAGCAGCAAGTCCCAGCTTTTTTTTTTTTTTTTTTTAGAAAATTCAAGTCTATGGTGGAAACTCAGTGGATGCAAATTGAAGACATTAAGAACAAATAATGGGGAAGGATATACTTCAAATGAATTCTCTAGCTTTTTTGTGATGATCTTGGAGTGCAACATCAACTCACTGTTCCTTACTCTCCACAACAAAATGGAATATGTGAGAGATAACAGAACTGTACTTGAAATGGCAAGATGTATGCTGCATGAAAAGAAGTTGCCAAAAAGATTTTGCGCTGAGGCAGCACATACTTCTGTGTATCTTCAAAATAGGCTGCCAACTCATGCAATTGATGAAAAAACCCTAATTGAAGCTTGAAGTGGTCCAAAACCTTCAGCTAATCATATGAAGGTCTTTGGATCATTAACTTATATGCTTGTATCAGATATAGAAGCATATAAACTGTCAAAAATGGCAAAGAAAGGAATATTCTTGGGTTATAGCAGTCAGTCAAAGGGATGCAAAATCTTTGATTTGCAAACTGAGAAATCAATTAGTCGAGATGTGAAAGCTGAAGAAAATGTAATGTGGAATTGGGAAAGTTCACCTATTGAGAGTGCCCCAACCTCAACAAATTATTCAAGTGGACTTGTTGATCAAAGAGATGCTACTCAAGTGTTAAATTCAGATTCAGAACCTTGCATTAAGAACACTACAGACTCAGAAATGTTGAAAACTAGTAGTTTGACAGGTGTTTATGCAAGGTGCAGAATGGCCATCACTGATCCTTCAAATGTTGGTGAGGCTTCCAAGTTTGAAGATTGGAATGCTGCTATGAGAGATGAAATCTCTATTATTGAGAAAAAAGGCACTTGGGAGTTGGTAGATAGACCCCAACACAACTACACAAGCAAGTTATTGGAGTTAAGTGGACATGAAGAACCAAATTCAATCCTGATGGTTCTGTATACAAGCACAACGCAAAGTTGGTGATTAAAGGGCATGCACATTATCCCAGAACTGGTTATGGAGACACATAAGCTCTGATCGCTAGACTTGATACAATCAAACTCATCATTGCTTTAGCTCCTCAAAACAGATGGAAAATCTACCACCTTGATGTCAAATCTGCTTTCTTAAATGGATACCTGAAAGAAGAGATTTTTATAGAACAACCTAATGGGTTTAAGAAGAATGAAGATGATGACAAGGTGTATAAGCTGCACAAGGCCCTCTATGGCCTAAACCATGCTCCTGGAGATTGGTATTGTAGAACTGATAAGTTTCTTTGCAGTTGAGGTTTCAGGAGGAGCTGTAATGATGCTGCTCTTGATGCCAAAACTCTATCTTCTGCGAATGTGTTAATTGTATCCCTGTATGTTGATAATTTACTGGTAATCGGCAGTGATACAAAATGCATTGATGCTTTTAAGTAACAAATGTAAAAGGCATTTGAGATGACAGACTTCGGAGAGATGAAATTCTTTCTTGGTTTTGAAATGCTGCATTAGACAGATCATGGAATCTTTGTTTCTCAACAACCTTATGTTCAAGATCTCTTGAGAAAATTTAAAATGCAAAGCTATAAGCCTAAGGATACTCCTCTGGTAGTCAATAAAAAATTATCTGAATGTAGAGGAGAAGATATCAAGGCTGATGCATCAAGGTGTAGGAGTGTAGGAGTCTTGTTGTAAGCTTGCTTAAATTGACCGAGACAAGGCCTGATAGGATGTTTACAGCAAGTTTATCATCAAGATTTATGCAACAACTAAGTGAGGTGGATTGTGTAGTTGGTAAAAGGGTGCTGAGGTATTTAAAAGGCACATCATATTTGGGAATATGGTTTAGATCTGTTACAGAATCCGAGTTAATTGGAATTGTGGATAGTGATTAAGCTGGGAGATTAGATGATGGAAAGAGTACATCAGATTCCAAGCTCATAGGATATGTGGCTCAATCATCAGCAGAAGTTGAATATGTAGCAGCAGTTGCAGCAGCAAACCAAGCAATTTGGTTAAGAAAGATATTGACAGATTTGGGTCTGAGCAAGCTGAAGCTACTCAAGTATTTTGTTATAGCAAATCAGTAATTGCTATTGAAAAAAAAAATCCTGTGCAGCATGGGAAGACCAAAAACATGAAGGTCAAATTTTATTTTCTCAGAGAAGCTGAAAGGGAACAAGAAATATGTCCTGTACATTGCAGTTCCGAAGAACTAGTTGCAGATATATTCACTAAAACTTTGCCTAAAGACAGGTTTCAGGAGCTTAGAATGAAGCTCAGTGTCTCAAGACAAAGTCTCAAGGAGGAATGTTGATGTAATGAGACTTTGCCTAGATACTTTAGGAAAAGATATTCTTACTGATATTCGTTAGCCGTGCTAGACTTTTGGTCTATCATGGCAGCTTTCTTTTGTTGTAGTTGAAAAGATATGTTTGTAGGTATGGCTGTTCTGTTTTTCAGGGTTTACCTTTCCTATTGTCCTACCAGTCTAAGATATGTTTTTAGACTTGGATTTTATTTTGAAAAAGCTGATATATAAGCCAGCTATCATCAATGAAATGTAAAGTTCTCTCTCTCTCTCTCTCTCTCTCTCTCTCTCTCTCTCTCTCTCTCTCAGTTCAGTGTTAAGCCCTTTCCTTTACAGAATATATCACAATGTAAACAAAATTATACAAGTAATAGTTAAAATAACTTCAGCTTCACTATCATTACTCTCATCATCATAATTCCGAACTTTGGCTAGTATATAATTAAAAAGAGCAAACATATAGAAAATCGTATGGGTTAAAAAAAAAAAAAGACAGTTAAAAGTAGTGATATGCACTAACAGCGATAAATCCATTGCTTCCAGAACCAAAGTTGACTTTTGTTGAGAGAATCAGAAAGATAGAATGCAATGTTCTCAATTGTTGAATACCCAAAATCAGCCGTAAAAATCAGCTCTTCACATCGTTGAAGTAAATCCAAGGCAATATCTATTCACATATCATAATCACATTAGCATGAGGTGGAATATCAAAATAACAATATAAACAAGCATAGAGAAAGGAATCAACATGAAGCATAGATTATGATTTGTTGACATAATTATCCAGAACTAGTTGTAAGTTGTATTACCAAGATCTCCAGTAATGAAACAGCCTCTGAGAAACGAAGGACCCAGAGAGCCATTTTCTGGTTTGAAGACTTGCAAAGGAGTGACAGAATAGAGATAACGTCCCATTTCATTAAGGCCAACACGAAAAGCCAATGTAACAGGAATCAGTTTAAGGTCTCCATTGCGAATAGCAAGTACACTGCTGTTTTTCTCGACCAAGCATTTCGCTACTGGAATGATTCCCCTATGTGATGCAGCAATTCCAAGTGGAGTATAGCCATGAGCATCAAGTATTTTAAGGTATTGTGGTGGGACTAATCTCACCAACTCCTCTACCATGCGCACATGCCCAAACTTTACAGCCACATGGAGAGGTGTTTCTCCTGTTAAAGCTGCAAGCTCTTCGTCCAAGGCCCTAGGATGGTGATCAATGAATTCTTTCGCAGCAGACCAGTTGTTCTCAGATATAGCCTTGTACAAAATAGCCATATCAAAATCTACTACTTCTGTCATCACTGTAATACAAATAGATATATGCATAATTAAGGAAAAATATATATAGAGAGAGAGAATTAATGAATGTGTGATACGCTTAGAGAAATTGAACTTGTCATTCATGCAGGATGAAATTACATATATGTGGTATAGCAATTGAAATTAGCTAAATAACAAAATTGAACCACGCACTAACCATGTCAACCACTTTTTGTTAGCTAATCACTCTATTAAACCCTCCTAGGGAAGCTGGAACACGTATGTCAATCAAGCCCAGCTTGGGTACGGTGTGCTCGAAAGGCCCATGAGCTAAGGGTTTAGCATAGATATTTGCTAGAATCTAACTATTATAATTTTAGATTGTACTACCTCAGATAGTGATACGACAGTGTCAATGATTATTAACATAGACCAGAAAGAACAGTGAGAGAACTGTTAGTAGCCTTAACAAACAAGGAAGAATCATATTTCGAGTAAATTTGTGAAGATGACTAATTTAATTATTTGTTAATTAATACTCTGTTATTTTTCATTCACGCAGCATGATAAACTAGTATACGACTTGGAGTTATATGCAAATTAATTAAAGCACCTCTAAAATGATTCAAGTGACGTATAGATAAATCTCTCGACATGATCAACAAATGAATAGGACTTATCTCAGTTATCAGAAGGACACTGACCTCTGGGAGGAGAATCTGGTGCTATGTAAGCTCGATAGAGAATGTCCCATGCAACTTTAGCTTCAGAAGCACCTCTTATACGAGAGTGATTGTTAGGCCCACAAGAGATACGAATGACATGCAATGCTACAGCATTGATTCTTCGCCATCTAGCAAAATCTTCCACATTCTCGTCTGGTCTTGCGCTACTACCACTTGTTACTTCCCAGAGATCTTGAGATATTAGATAGTTCTTAACCCATTCAAACCAATCTTGCTTGTTCTTCTCCGTAAGTCGTTCTGCGACAATCTCGTTAAAATTGGGGAGCTCTGCCATGTATAACTCAACCGAAACCGTATGTAAATGGCTAGTTAAGTCTTCTTTCTCAACTCATGGTTGACATCTTCGTTCATTTCCTCTCCATTTGCGTCGACTTCGTTTATTTATTCCGCATTGGCGGGCGGGGTTGGAGACTCGAGATACCTCATTTTCTTTAGAACTCGGCAGTTTCTCTGTTTTTTTTTTTTTTGCCTTCTCTCTTGCGGGTCGCTGTCGCTGAGCCCTTTGAAAATATAAAGAAAAGTTTTCCAAGTCAAAGATAAAGCAGAAACATTACAAGGATAAAAATATGTGACACCACAACAGGTTGTTAGAGGTTGAAATTTCTGGGAGCTTGGCCGGAGAGAGAAACGGAGAGGCTTCTAAGTTCTATGCAAGTGAATGGGGGTCAAGTCTTTTTCTTTTTCTACAATGAGAATACAAATGTTTGTTAAATTATGATGATGATCTTTTTGGATTAGAAAGCATGAAAAAAAAAAAAGAATTCATCCCATTTTTCTGCCTGAGGAGAAACAATTATTCCCATTTAATAATAATTTTTTTAAAATAATTACAAATATCGATTTAAACAAATAAATGAATATAAGATTTCTATTGCACATTAGTTTATATGTCATTATCAGTTTGAAACAGTATTTTCAACCCATATTATCTTTTAATAAAATATTATTGGAATCTGATTCTTATTGAATTGATTCTTTGGCACCGATCATTTTACTGTCAAATGTGTCAATATGTGATTGTTGCCAAGCCCAGTAGCTACTGTGTTTACCCTTTTGGTCTCTCTACACGAAACGCGTGGAATATTTAATCTGAAGCAACAAAGAGAGCTGAAATAAAATAAACAAGGCAACAGAGAGACTAAATTATGGGCGAGGCAGTTGAAGGAAGCATCGAAGAAAAACCAGCCGGAAATAAGATATTCAGAAAATGGGGAAATAATATAATTTAATGTTTGGCCTGTTTGGATAATTCTTAAAAATATATTCAAATTATATGTTGAATGTATTTTTATCAAATCTAACAAATAATTAAATCCTTTAAATGAACTTTTGTTAAATATAAATTGAAAACGGAACACACACTAACATATTTCATGTTTTAGTTTAATTAATTCCACTTACCAAAACTAATACAATAAACTAATTAAGAACACTAGGAGTTGTGAGGTGGAGACTAGCGGAATTTATGTCCCTTCTTAAACCAATCAAAACTCAGTTCATTAACATTTCTTCTTTTTTGAAAAAAGATGTGCCTGAATCTCTCAGTTGACTAAATGAGCTTGATTAAGAGAGTGAAAGATGAAAATTCCTTCAGTAATTCCAAGATTTATATTTTTTCCTTAATGTTGACTACTATTCCATCTGCATACACCTTTGAAAAATGTGTACTGCTCATTAAAATCTCTAATGACCTGTTGAACAGGGGGACCTTACTTGTAAGTAAAGCATGGTTTCTTGTATACCAAATTAGACATAACAGTAGATAAATGCGTTTAAACATCTAAATCTCTTGATTCTGGTATAAAATTATTAATATTTGAAGAATCCAAGTGGTAAGACCTTGAGGGAAAATGTTTGTGAAGCATAAAGACATATAGCCAAGCTAGATAGCTCTTGTGTAAGGACAACCACAAAAGGTATGATGCAAAGTTTATTGTGTCATAGCCAAAGACACATTGAAGAGTAGTGCTAAGATGATGCTTATTCAATACATCCCCAATATGAATTGCTTCATGAATAATTTTCTAAATGAATAAGAGAGTTTTGTAAGGCAAATGAAATTTCCATAGAAAGTCCAAAATTCCTTCCCTAGCTAAGGGCCTATTTTGATTTGCAGAAGTAATTATTGAGTAACCATCTTTGATTGAATAGGAGCCAAGACCCCATATCTGTCGATCAGTCAAACCAATAAAAGAGATAGATATCCTTAAAATGGAATTGGCCTTCTCCTAGCCATAGAGCTTGGTAATGAGAAGAGCATTCCATGCATTTAACAGCTACCCAAGGAGTTGGATTGGGAATTATAAGATCCAAAACCTTTGAAATGTTTAGGATATGAGCAAGACCTCTATTGGAAAGCTTCCACCAAGTCTCATGGGTTTTAGGGATAGAATCTTCATTCCCTACCTGCTAGGTAAGATGCTTTTTAATCAAATCCAAGGCTTTGAAAATACCCAAAAGCAAATGTTCTTCAGCATCAAGCACTTTCCAGATCTACCTGGCCAACAAAGCCAAGTTCATGCTCTTAGCATCTCTCAAACTAAGTCCACCATCCCTTATAAGAGAAAAGAGAATATTTCTTTTAAGAAGATGAATATTCTTGTTACCATCATTGACACCCTATAAGAAATCAATTAGCTTAGCATCAATGACATTACAAAGACATTATGGTAGCTTTACACATGACAAAGTGTAGATGTTAGAAGTAGATGACATAGATTTGATGAAAGTGAGTCTGGAAGCCTGCAATAAAAGTTTAACCTTCCAAAAAGTAATCTTTCTCTTAATAGATTCCATAGACTGGGCAAAAATTAATGATTTGTCTCTTTTAGTGTCAATCCTAGTGCCTAGATGCTTGCTAAAAGAGTTAGAGGTTTATATACCCAGATGTCTTGCAAGTTCCTGTTTAAGTTTAGCAAAGCAATTAGGACTAAGGAGCAAAGAGGATTTCTGAACATTCACTTGAAAACTAAATCATTTGCAAAAAATTTGCAAAACCTCCTTAATGGTTTTCCCCCATATACTCAAAGAAAATAATGGAATCATCTGTAGATAAAAGATGAGAGACCAAATATAAATTTTGACATATTTTGATTCCATTAAATGCCCCTTACTTCTCTTTAGGAGGAAGAAATTAGATGAGAAAATCATCCATTAAAAATATTCATCTACTCCATCGTAGAAATACATTGGAAAATCAAATTAATTCATTTAAGTGGGAAGTTCATACTTTGAAGGACGGCCTTTAGAAAATTCCAAGACAATTTATCAAAAGCTTTAGAGAAATCAAGTATTAATGAATCTAGTTTTTTCCTTTTCCCCTTGTAGAATGGATTTGATGAACCAGATCTGCTGCCACCAATATGTTGTCTAAGATGACTATATAAATATAAGGCAAGTAAGTGCTTTGAAAGGGGGAGATCAATCTTGGAAGAATATTCTTAAGCCTGTTACTCAATATCTTTGAGATAATCTTGTAGGAAACATTACAAAGAGTAGTAGGTCTTATATCTCTTAAAGACTGGATAGATTTACCTTTGGATGGAATGAGAGTGATGAAAGTTCGATTAAGAGCCTTGAGAATATTTTCAAAGGTCTAAATGTGAGAGACATATTGAAGACATCATCCTCAACAATATTCCAAAATTTTTGGAAAAAATAGCATGAAAACTATCGGTTTGGGCAAGTTGTCCTTTGGTAAGCTAAATAAAGGGGGAATAACATTAAGGGCTCTAAAAACACACATTATTGCATTTGGGCTTGAAAAATATAATACTACTCTTAAGCCTTTGGGCATTTATTACAATTTTCTTTACACCAAAAATATAATTTTTACCCTTTATGAAAAGAAATGGAAATGAACGAACAGAAAGTGGTGGGATTGATGACAAACATAAGAAGGCTACCTAGCTAGAGGATGTAAAGGTTTATTAACTTTAATAGTGAAGAGTAACTTTCGAGGTATGTAGATTTTAAAATCCCTCTATCTCAAGCAGTGCTTTGGTTGAAAATTTTCTGTTGAGCTTTGATTAAGGATGCTATCTACCATTTTTATGTTGAAACAAGAAAGAGCTGACAGTTGAACCACAAGCAAAGAGTGATGTAATGTTTTGTTGGCTTTCAGTATTTGTTGCTGTTGATTGCTTCTTGCTTGGCCATGTTTTCTTCATTAAACCACAAGCAGAGAGTGATGGAACGGGCTTGCTGGCTTCTTAGCCCTGCATAAATTAATGAGAGGATTATCCAAAATAGTTAGATTTTAGCCAAATATTTAGGTTGGATGGGAAAATCTTCAATTGGAATTTTAGTTGTGATTTTACTACTAATATAAGATAAATGTTGCTAAAGCATTAAGTTAGCTGTAAAAGTTTTAAAGTGGATTAGTTATTATACAATAATGACAGTTGACTTATTTATATTGGACTTTAACATGTGAATTGAATAGAATATGACCTAATATGAAGAAAATATGCTATTAGAAATCTTGAAATATTTGTTGTGCAAAAACTAACTTTGAGTTGTTGTTGTTGAATGTTGAGTTGTATATTTTGTTAAGCTTAGCCTAATGGTAAACTAGAATCACATGGACTTTCAATTGAGAATATATGAACCTTGTGTTATGCATAGTAGATATTATGTTGTACATTGTTTGTCTAAATTGAGCACTTTGTTAAGCCTAGTCTATTGATAAACTAGAATCTCATGGACTTTCAGTTAAGAATATATAAACCTTGTGTTATGCATAGTAGATTATGTATTTACAATGTTTGCCTAACTTAAGCATTTTGTTAAGCCTGACTTACTGATAAATTAGAACTATATGGACTTTTAGTTGAGAATATATGAATCTTGTATTATGCATAATGCACTACTAGAAAAATGCAAATTAGTGAAAAAATTTAGCGAGGGATCGTCTATTCCTTTCTAAAATACTAAATTAGCGAGGGACATTAATTTCGTAACTTGATTTAAAATTAGTGAGGAAATTAGCGAGGGACTGTCAATCCCTCTCTAAAATAAAAAAATTAGCAAGAAAAATAGCGAGAGACTATCAATCCCTTTCTAAAATAAGAGAATTAGAGAGGAAAATAGTGAAGGACTGTTAATCCCTCTCTAAAATAAGAGAATTAGTGAGAAAAATAGTGAGAGATTGCCAATCCTTTTAAAATAATAATTAAATTTAAAAATTAACTTTTGACAATGACTTTTAATTATACATTTAATTATTTTTATTTAAAAATAATAATTAAATTTAAAAATTAACTAAAATATTCATAATAAAATTACTTAATATTTTCTTTATTCTAAGTTAATTTTCATTAATAAAATAATATTTTATTAAAAATATAATATAAAGAATAATTTAAATAAAATATAAATATTTTTTAACATATTAATAATTGAAAATAAAATTTAATATGCATATGTGTGTATTTTTATAATATATTATTTGATATATTTATATAGTTAAATAATATATATACATATTTAATTTTTCATATAA